GCATAGTATCATGGCCATTGACATGGCACATAAAAAGTAAAGATTATAGGACTAGCTAGTGGAGTTTTTAAAAGATGATGCAAATATCTTGGTCGACAGTGGCTATAACCTTATAGTGGTCTTGGTTACCATCTTTAACTTTGAAGTACAAAGAATCTTGGTGGATAGTGAAAGTACAATTGACCTAATATAGTACCAAACATTCAAGCAAATAAGTTTTTTAGATAGCAACTTAAGGTAATTAAGGCTTATATTCGGATTTACAAACCACCCTACACCGTGAAAGGATCTATCACCCTAGTAGTGACCATGAGGGACGGCGAGCACACGTTCATAACTTTGGTAGATTTCCTTGTCATGGACTAACCTTCAACGTATAATGTCATCTTTGGCAAGCCACTAATAAAGAATGCAAATATGGTTACCTAAAAATTAAATTCACCATACCTACAAAGGTCGAGTTCATAAGAATCAATCAAGTTATAACCCGTCAATGCCATTTATTAAGGCTCAACTTATACAAAAAAAGGACAAAGTAGCAAAAACACCATCCCCACAAAAAAAAAAAACTCTAAAACACAATCCAACCCCCATAAAAAGAGTTTAAAACACAATCCAACCCTCATTTTCAATCTACCTCATCAACATCGCACTAGCCCAAACTTTTAGCATTGACAGTTTGGATGTCTGTAACGAGACTAGAGAATATAAGGCTAGCTCTATCAAGCAAACAGTGCAATATAGTTGTACCTTCTCAATCTAGAGTTAGTTGTCATATTGTATAGATTCGTGGATCTACTACTAGACATAGATTAGAGGAGTCACCACCAATCTTTTTTATTTAGGTATGATTGATCACCTAATCTGATCTGATCCATGAGACCATATTTAGGTATGAGAGTACAGTTACGTGTGAAAAAATTTATAACACCCTCACAGTACCCATCCAAAGATGGTACCAGTTTAATTCCAAATTATCCAAGCCTTAAAGATGTTTATGATTTTTTAAAATATTTAATATTAAAAATTAGTCTTAAAATTACCCAAATAGTTTGGTAGTAGTTTAAGATAATCCTCTCACCTTAAGAGTATTTATGGAAACTAGTGTCCTACCCTGAAAAGGCTTCGTCGTCAAATTCATTAATATTTATTTTTTATTCAAAAAAAATTAGTAAAGTCTCCCAATAGTTTGGTAGAACTTACTTTGAAATAGATTTCTCAATAGTTTGGTAAGACTTTATTGTAAAAGTTTTATTTATTATTTTTTTGAAAAATTCATTAAATCTCTCAATAGTTTGGTAAATTTTAATTTAAAAAGCAATCCTCTAATCGTTTAGAGGATAAATTTATTTTTATTATTATTATTTTTTAAACAAATGATTTATAAAATTTTTTAATAGTTTGGTGGATTTCATTTTAAAAAATAAATCCATAAAAATTCTTCAATAATTTGGTAAAATTCATGAATTTATTTTGTAAGGATTTTTATCTGAAAAATGTTTTTTAACTTATTATTTTTTTTATCTTTTAAACTTATATGAAAATGTTTTTTATTTATTTTATTATTTATTATTATTTTTGTTTTCCAAAAATTTTTTTTTCTTTTCTTTTAATAGATCTTGAGTGAAAATGGAAATGAAAATGAAAAAAGATTCCAAAGAAAATAAAATGAAAATGGAAAAAGAAAACCTATGATTCAGGTCGGGTCAACGTGTGGGTTGATGTGTAAATCAACGAGTCAAAGCTCGGATCTGGGTATGTAGAAATTGTGTCATATTGGGTCTTTATAAAGGCCAAGTTTAGCATTTTAGCCTCAGAATTCCTCTGCTCCTTCTCGCTCTAAAACTAATTCTCTCTCTTTTCTCTCTAAAACTCAGCTAATAATACTGTCAGAGATTCAATCGAAAACTATGAAAACCTATCGGTTTCTAACAAAGTTATTGAAATATTCAACTAAAAATTGAAAAACCATTGGTTCCTAGAAAAGTCATTGGAATCCCACTAGAAAATTCAAACCTCACCAAAAAATTCAACTGAAAAATTCATCCCAAACCTAGATTTTTTCAGAAAAAATCTAGAATTTTTAGATTTTTTCAGATTTGCCTAGATTTCTTCAAAAACCCTCCAAAATCCTAATTCAAATCTTAGAAACCTAAATCTAACCCAGACACTTCAAATCGAACCCAGAATTCCAAAATCAAAATTTTAAAAATTCCTTTACTGCCTAAAAAATTTTCAAAATGCCTAGTTCATCCTTTTTAAAAAAAAATCAATCGTCCCTGTTTCTTGTGATTCTTGGTTTGATTTATAGGCACTTTTAGGACAAATTTTAGAAAACAGATAGAACCAATCCAGGCTTAAATCCTAAGATTGGGTTTTACTAGAGCATAATCTTAGGATTCTGATTTGGTTGAATTTGTTAGTTATTCGGACTTGATTTAGCATTAAAAACATTTAACTACGTGATTGAATTTAGATTTTCGTTTCCCAAATCTACAATCGTAGATTGAAAGAAAGGAAAAAAAGAAAAACAAAAATAAATAAAATAAATAATAATAATAATAATAATATAATATGATATAATAATAGTAGTAATGTAATACACTAATATAATATACTAAAAATAATAATACAATAGTAATAATAATATAATAATATGATACAATATCATATAATAAAGTATGATAACATTTTGATAATACAAAAATATGATAATAACAAAATAATAACAGTAAAGCAGACTTCGATTGATTTCGAACATAGATAGGTGTCTACAACTGCCTCTCTTTGTACATTTCTTTTAAACAAGGATAATACAAAGACCTAGACACCACTCTTTTCCAAGAGTCAAGTCAATAAGGAAAAATGATTGGGATTGAGTCGCGAGTCAAAAAAATGATCTAGACTGAGCTAAGATTAGAGAGTTAAGAAAGTTAAGAGAGTTAAGATTAAACGATCAGGATGAAATCGTAAATCTGTAAATAAAGCGATCAGGATCGAGTCAAGTTCAAAGATGAATGATTAGGATAAAACTACGAGTCAAAAAGTTAAAGCAACTAAGATTGAGTCGAGGTCGAAGATGAATGACTATGACGAAACAGCGAGTCAGAAAAATGATCTAAACTAAGTCAAGATCAAATAACTAGGATGAAACTGTGAGTCAAAAAGATAAAATGACCAAGATCAAGTCAACGTCGAATATAAATGATCGAGATAAAATCGTGAGTCAAAAAAATAATCTGAACTGAGTCGAGATCGGATGACTATGATGAAACTTTGAGTCTAAAAGATAAAGCAAGTAGAACCAAGTCAATGTCGAAGATGAACGACTGAGATGAAACAGCGAGTTAGAAAAATAATTTGGACTGAGCCGAGATAAAATGACTAGGACAAATTATGAGTCCAAAAAATAAAGCAACCAAGACTGAGTCGATGTCAAAGATAAATGACCGGAATGAAATCATGAGTCTAAAAGATAATGCGACCAAGACCGAGTCGAGATCATAGATAAATGATTGGGATGAAACCGCGAGTCAAGAAAATGATCTGGATTGAGCCGAGATCGAATAATCAAGACAAAATCGCAAATCTAAAAGATAAAGCGATCAAGACCGAGTTAAGATCAAAGATGAATAACCTGGATGAAATCGCAAGTTACGAAAATAATCTAAATTGAACCGAGATCGAATGAGTGATAAGTGATAAAAATGTTATTTGTCACTTATTCATAAAAATGTTATTTGTCTTTTTTTTATATACTTCTTAAAAAGAATAGTATAGACTTTTTACAAGAATTTCAAGAATTAATTATAATTAGTATCTTTAATTTTTGTTTTGATATTAGGGAACTTAGAATAATATTTTATTTTATTTTATTGGCCAAAATAATAATAGTTTATTTTAAATAATGCATCAATTTAACTTCAATATTTTTATTTTAAAAATAATGCATCATTTTAAATAATCTTTTTAGAACTTAAAACTTGATTCAATTGGTTAATATAATTACTTTAAGATATAACATTTAATAAATCCGCATTCAAAATCCAAATACCTATAACTACGTTTTGTATTCTTAAGTCGCAACCTTTGTACAAAAAAATTCTTTCCTCTAACTTATTAAATTAAAATTATATATATTTGGTAAAATTGTATTAGTATTGAAAGCATTATCCCCATTTCACATTTTGAAAATCATCAAATTGAAGTATAGTGTTTAATATATATATATATATATATATATATAGAAAGGGGACGAGAAAAAAAAAAGTTAGTTTTTGTTTTTACTTGAATTAATAATTAGTATTTTTTTTCAATTTTATCAGGAAATCTAATATTAAATAAATAAATAATAAATGTGTGAAAGTGTGAACAGACAAGCTCCTTCGAAGCAAAAAAGGCTGTGGTCTCTGTCAAAAACAATTTTCTCTCTCTTTTGATCATTATTCGTTGCTGCATTCATATATTTCTGTATATTTAAGGTAGTTTTAGACTAAGGCTTTTTTTTGTTGGTTTCAGAATTCAGATGAACAAAGGATGATGACGAGCAACAAGTGCGGAAGAGGGGGAGCCATAGTTAGACAGTACAACAAATCAGAAGATCCGCGTTTGAGATGGACTCCTCAGCTTCATCAACACTTTGTTCAAGCTGTTGATCGCCTTGGTGGAAAATTCAGTAAGTTCTTTTCATATATTATTGTCCTAGTTTTGTCTTACCCTTGCCCTAATTCCTAGCTAAGAAATTCTTACAATATTAATTGAGTTTGCCTGAGAAGCCATTAATACAACTCCGACTCGAATGCAAGATTTCCGTTTGGTTTTTAATCAAAAGAGAAGAAGGAAAACAAAATACAGTTATAAAACTGGTGTGATTTTGCACTATCATGACCAGCAGCAAAAGAAATACAAAAACCTGTACCTGTAAACACATTATATACGTTGCTTTGAAGGTACATAATTGATGGATGCAAATCGATTGTTGGTTGAATTTGCAGAAGCAACACCAAAGCGAATATTGCAGATGATGAGTGTAAAAGGGCTCAAAATTTCTCATATCAAAAGCCATCTTCAGGTATATGATTTTTTTTTTAATTTTTATTTCTTCAATTTTAACGTGGGAAACAAAATGAATAACAAAAAATAATAATCATCATGAAGATGAACCACAAAATATTCCTCATCATCAATACAACAAAAAAAAAACTCTAAAATAATCTACTGCAAATTTGCCTCTATAATTAATCTCCTTTCCCTCTGTCTTTTTGTTCCTTTATTATTATTATTATTATTATTATTATTATTATTATTATTATTTCATTTTCGGCAAAGCTTCTAAGGATGTTCACAGCTTGCAAAATTAGTGACAATATTCCATAACGTCCAAGTCCATCGCTATAAATATGAATTAATATTTTAGGAATTTCTACAGAAACCTATGAACCTGGCTAGTAAGGTTTTTTAAGTGTTTATTCTCCACGTTTTTCTGTTATCTCTTTTGCTTTTTCTCTCTGTTTATCTGTCATTAGTGTACCTGAGTCGTATCAAACAGCTGCTTATATATATATATATATATATGGAAGGAGGAATATTAACTTCGTTCGTCTGTTCTCAAAAAACGGATTTATGTATTATAATTTTTAGAAATAAACTGTCAAATTGAGTTTTCTTCTTGTTTCCAATTTGTTATTTTTGCCTTTCACCCTCCATTACAAGCAGAATTAAACAATCGGTTTTATATATGCTTCTATTTTATACCAGAAGAACACTTTAGAGGTAAACGATGTCGGGTTTTAAAAAACCAATTTGAGGAGGGTAGCTAATAGAGAAGTACATGCACTTATCTTTGAGTCAAAATATTCGGATTCAATGCAGAGCTTTCATCTCCTCCTTTTTGTTTTGTAGAGAAAATTAAATGTGGTATACCACAAATTAAAGCCATAGGTTTGATAGTATTAGGACACTACAAAAGATTAGTTTAACTTAATTATTGTTGCAGTTGAAAAAATTTTGTACTGAAAATAATAAAAGTAAATAATCTAAAAAGATATGCATAATAAAATAATAATATAATGATTTTCTATTTCAAATACATTTTTTCATCCCAATTTTTTATTTGGATTTGAAAACAAAAAACCATATTTTTTTTCATTATTTAAGATTGAGGTTGGATCAAAAGCAATTTTTGAAAGTATAAATTATGTTTAACGACAATACTAAATTAGACCAAAATCACGCATAAAATTGGGTAAGTGAACACCTTCAACCGATGACTTTTGATTATGGGTCTCTACTAGCGGTAGCCACACTATTGCTTAGACAGCAAAATTAGGCTTGTTGGACTAATTAATTTAACTTGATATGTTTCATGTGATGTTTAATAGAGAAACGGCATGCATATGGATTAGGTATATGACACATCTAATTAAGCAGGCTTTATCTTTAAAGTAGTAGAAAGAATGTGGCTATTGCTTTGCAATAGACTTAAATCAGCTGCCCTGCAAGCTAACTATATAGATCCTAGAAATGGATTAATACCTAACCTGGTTTTAATGTGGCAACATTCCGTGTTCATCTTAATCCTGTATTTTATAGTGTACATAGATGTTTAAATTCATCTTTCATTTTTTTTTTTATAGAAAAAATCAACTCATTGTCTAAGAATAAGATAAGAAATTGTAAGAGTTACAATTTAAACTCTAGATTTGTTAGATACTATTTTTTATGAATTATTGTATGAATTAATTGAGTTAAATATTAGATTCAAATTAATATTTATTTCAATAATCATTATCTCAACTTTTTTTTATTTCCTTTTGTAAGTTTTTTATGAAAAAAAAAAGAGAATTATTCTAAATAAATGCTATCAAAATTAAGTAGAATTATATTATAGATAAGATATATATGTATTGTATAGCTTACTCACTTCATTATTTTGTTTTTTCTTTTTGGCCAAACACATCACTATAAGTTTCCACATAATTAACCAAATGCAGTTTAAAGGAAAAAACAAAACCTTTTACTTTATGTTTTTATATTAATATTTAAAAATTGTCATAAATGTTCACTATGATTTATAGTGTTTCTAATACAAACAAGGTTAAAAAATAAAATAAAATGCCAGAAAAATAAGTACGTAAATAGAGAAAAAGTTAATAGAGACATTTAAAAAATATATCATTTTGAGACATTAAAAAAGAAAAAAAAATTAACATTTATCGTTTTTGGTTGAACAGTAAAGGGTTTGAGACTTTATCTAATTACAAACTTATTTAAATCATAACTAAAATATTCATAAAAAATTATCTAAAAAATTTGAGACAAAATAATCTTACATCTAAATAATTATTCGTACAAATAGCTTAGTGTGATATCATGCATGTTATACATTGACGTTATTATTACCTTCATTTCGATTTTGATTAATTCCCTAGATGTACCGGAGCTCGAAATATGGTAACAACTTCAACGTGGTTGTACCGGTGGGGCACTTGCATTTAAGAAGAGCATGCATTAAAGACGGACTCTTCTCAAGTTGCTCATTATCTAAGAGGTAATCAAAAACCCAAAATAGGGGGAAAAAAAGTCATGTGTTCAAGTCTTTAATTATTGCTGAAATTTTGTTTCCTGAGCTAAGACTTTTGGAGCATTATTACACCGAAATTTCACATTCAATTTGACCCGGTCCCTTTGTCCACATCTAATCTATGCTCAAATTTATAAGAAAATATATATATTTTTTCAGGAAAAGATTTTTTTTTTCTCTCTTAGGATATGTTTAGTAAATAAAATTATGATAAAATAAGATAAAATGATATTATAAATAAAATTAAATTAAATAATATCATCTTATATCAAGAAGATAATTAATTTTACTTGTAATCCTATCATTTTCTTTAAATACAAATCAAACATAATATAAGATGATTATCTTCTTATACATCAAATATAACTTTAATTTATTATATGATTTTATTTTAGTTATCGTGATTAATGTCATTATAAACAAATTATCTCAAAAGTCTTAACTTACTTTTGACTCTGGCTCCACAAATTTTCAGCCAAGGATAATTTTATTTAAATTAATGCTCAAGAGAATTAATTCAATTAATTTATATAATTATTCTTAAAAATATCATCTAACATATCTTAAATTTAAATTTCAGCACATATAATCTTTTTCTCTATTCTTAGCTCTATTATTAGATAGCAGCTTCCTACCTAAAAAAATTAATGGTCATGAATCATTGCGTTATGAATCATGACTACCATCCCATTCAACTGAAAACCTTTTCTTTTAACAGGCACCTAGAAGAATCATACCTTTTCATGAATCATGAAAGCAAGGTCTGTCTCCAACCACATGGATGTGGGAACGCCAGCTTTATTAGTTTGGAAATTGGCAAAAGTCAATTGATCCATGTCGGTTTCATTTAAATGGACAGTGACAGTGATCACTGAAACAGTCATTTTGCCATTGAATCTCCAAATAAAACAATAGCCAATGATAGTGATACCGAAAGGTGAAATAAAGATTTTTGCTCTTCTTTGCTAGTCAAGTACCCTTAATCTTAGCTGGTGCCAATAAGTTGTCCCTAGCACGAGTTCATTGTATGAACAATTCATCCAAGTTTCGAAAAGTTTGTTGACATCTCCCTTAAGCTTGGCTTGGTCCTCCATTTGAACTACCCTAATACCAATTTTACATATGGTCAGAGGAAGTTCTTGCCTCACCCTCTTCCACGTCATCTCCCCCTTTAAATATTGGTGTTTAACCAAATAGAATAAATTAGTATGGACAAGGAAAGGAAGAGAGAAGGCCATAAAGATGAAGAGTTCTTGAAGACAAATCAACCTATTAATAGTTTTTGTCAATAGTTGTATTCTCTGCTGGTAGAATATACTGAATCATAAATTGAGGAGTAATTATCTCTTATAAATAAGAGATTAGTGATGAATGGTGAAGCGTTGGATACAGTTTTAATAAGTATTTCTGTGTTGGTAGTATCATTTGTTGGAATCAATCATTCACTTGACTTATATGTATAACAGTTAATTGAGTGGTCCAATGCTTTGCAGGATAGTAGGAAACGAACACAGAGACTGGCAATGCCAAGGGGGGAATTTCGAACAACAAAACTTTTTCAAGGAAATCAACAATAGCCTTTTACATATGGAAGAAGCAGCAGCTAATGTCTTTCAGAATAACCAGGTATCATTCATATTAATGATCGATGCAAACATGTTTATTTTCATCCTTTTCTTTTCTTTGCCTTTTTTTTTTCTTTTGGCATCAACAAATTATTTTCTTTTTTGCTAAGTCAAAGAAGTTGATTAATTAACTAAAAGATCACAAAACTAGCTAAAAGCTAGTAAAGCAAAGAACATATTTCTATGCAAATTCAAGTCAAAATTGATAAAACACCACCTAAAAGATACCAAAGAGACTAAACACCAAAGGGGTTACACCACCTCTTCCTACAAAACACCAGATCACATGTCTGCAACCCATACATTTAAAAAGCTAAAGTCCACCAAAAACTTCAATACAACTCTTGTGCAATAAAACTTAAATAATTACTGCAGACCAAACAGACATATTTCAAATTAAAACCATCTCCATGAGAAGAAAGCATGCATCAGTTATAAGCCAGTTTAACAACCAACACAACCCAAACCAAATATAGCACCTATAGTCATGTAAAATTCATCAAGTCTTGCCCCGTTAGATCCACAAGCTCATACTTGTTAATGAATTCATTAAATTCTGCAATATCCATACATCCATGCAAGCAGTCTTTTCTCTCCGATGTTGATCTAGGAAGCATTTTACTTGTAATTTTTTTTATTACAATACTCAATTTTTCAATCATAATAAAAAATTATATAGAGGTCTACCATTTATAAGTGTGGGTTTCATATAAAATTTTGATGGTCTCTGCATAATTCCAAATTCTGATTGATTAATTGTAATACAATCATTGTAATTTATATGCTTAATATGACTGTGTTAAAGTCCCTTGCCACACAACAACAACCAGGAAATTCTTCTTTGCATCCCATAATTTCACACCATAAATGACTCTCGAAAGTTTGATCACAAGAAGCATAGACATTCCCAATTATGACACAATCAACTTTTGCATTCACCCAGCTACTTTTGAAAAATTAGGAATTGATCTTTAATAAGACTTTTCTTTAAAGAAAATAAGTTTCTATCCTAGGCAGTAACCAACCCACCAAAATTCCCAATAGATGGGAAAAAAAACCACATTTTCTATTCCATCAGTTTAGAAGCTACTGTCTCCAATTGTTTCCAGCATGGTTTCTTGAAGCAGTATCATTTCTTCCGTATAACACTTCACCAAACTATTAAGAACCCTCCCTTTTGCAGCGCTACCAATTCCCCTAACTTTCCAGCACAAAATTCTCATATAACTAGAAAAGCACCAACAAGGATCGATAAATAAGACAATTGAATCTGATACCACATACCTACTATGATTAAGCTTCTGTCCTCTGGTCCCGCTCCTCCGTATCTATTCATTTTTGGATGATAATATCTTCCTCACAATCGGCAGACAGCCCAAGAATCTTGCCCTTGTTCCAGATTTCAACAGCGATACCGTACAATTGGAGACTGAAAAACTTAAAAGGTGAACCATTAATTTATTATAGAAGAAGAGCCAGTGGAGGACATAATTTTTTGCAACAGTGCCAGAAGCCTATGTCCGCCACAAAAGCCTTCATACTTAGTAAACTAGCATTACACCTAATTTGTCAGTGCAATTAAAAAAAAGCTTGGATTAAAAGAAATATGTTTGAAATTACAGTGAGAAAAAATGTAGTTTAAAAGTTTTTAAACGATTGATATTATTGTGGAAAAAAATGTTGTGATGAATTAAAAAATTTTAAAAAGATATCCATAAAAAAATAAAAATTTAAAAATATAAGAGTAAAAAAATTGACAGAACCACCCAATTGTAGACTGAAAAACAGGTCTTGTGCTGCTTGCATTATTGTCTGAAAACTAAGCTTTTTAGGTTTTTTATTGTAAAATATATATGTAGGCTTTTTGGTTAAAAAGGACTGTTTTTCATCGGCTAGACATATTGAAGTGTAAAATGCAGCTTTTTATTCCAAAAGATCTTTCCCACCTCAATGCCAAATGGGGCGTAAGTTTAATCATCATGTTTGATACATTGAATTGTTCCGTAAATATGAAAAATACTATGATGTGGTAGATAAGGATAGGGTACAACAATATTGATGGACAAATGAGAGGCTTAAATTATTTTGTAAACCTTATCATTCTGCCAACAGTCTTACCGTAATTTAATGATTAATTTGCTTTACAAAATAAAGTTTGCATTCAGCATTTGATATTCTAAATGAAAAAATTTCGGATTGAATCATGGTATAAAAGGTTGCATTAAAATGAAAAAGCATTATATTCATTGGGTGACTAAAAATCATATGTAAAAAAATCTAAGAATATATAGTAAAATACATAAGGAAAAACAAAGAAAAAGCAGCCTACACTACTACCTAACATAATTGTATTATTTTTTATAAGAAGGAGATTTAAGGCCTACGAAAATTAGGAAGAAAATTTTGTAAGTGTTAAACATTGAATTTAAACTTTGCAAGAATTTACATTCTGATAAAATAGTTGATAAATCATTTGAATTAAATTTCAAATTTATAATTATAGTCTTCTTTACAATTTAAAATCCAATTATCACGCAAAGGTATAAAACATGCATTTGGATCATAAGAGTAGAGATAACTTTATATTACTTTAAAATTCTCTCATCATCAAGCGTTTTTGTTATACATGAGAAACCTATTCCCTTTAAAAAAAAAAAATACATACACATAATAATATATACATATATACATGCACATACACATGGATGCATGAAAAATAAAATGGTTTTGCTAATTAACGACTACCACGTGCCTTAAAGGCACTTTTTAAGGTTACTAAATTAAGTAATTAATTTTTACAATGCATTGAAATTCATAACAGGAAGCATATGATTGGTACATGATCGATCCTTATGTTCAAAGAGTAGGTTTCAAATCCTTCTTTTTCAAATAAAAAGAAATCATAATATTAATGATCAATTATCAAATTTAGTACAATAACATTATTATAAATGATATTTTAACTAACCTTAAAAAGTGTCCTTAAAGGCCTCATTATCAAAATCCAAAATAAATTTTCAATTATTTCAAATATAATAATGTGATTGATTTTTTTTTTTAGTATAATTAACATAAGCAAAACCAAATTAATTCAATAGATGGGATCAATTAGATTTAGCTGCTCCTTTTTTTTTTTCTCTCTCGGGTTTCATTTCACAACTAAATTTTGTATTTATGGCGAATGCTTGCAATATATAAGTATATGAGTTTGTTTTTTATACATTGTAATATATATAGTTAAAATTTCTTATATATATAGATGAATATATCAAAGAAAAAATAGATACATGTACAAAACCTAATTAGGAACAATGTATTATTGGCATAACTCTAGATGTTTTTGAAAATAACCTAATCCTATTATCCTGTTTACAGGAAAAATATACATGCTTACTTGGCAAAAGTTTGAAAGATGAAGATATTGGAGGGTTAGACGAAGTTTGTGAGCTATCTCCATCCTTCTGTCCTTCCCCAGATACCATACCAAATTCAGAAGATGATGATGAGAAGGAGTACGTTTGCCGTCTAATCGATGATCATAGCCACCCAACTTCCATAAGGACTTCAAAATTTTCCAATAATAACATAAATTTGGACCTAACCATCTCAACCTCATTCCCCAATTGATCACACTATGATTATTATATCTAAAAAATTTGGTTTCTACTTATATACATGTAGATTTTTTTCCTTAATGTAATAATATAAAATTTATAGTGTTTATTAGATAAATTATTATTCTACATATAATAAAGAGTATTATAAAGATTTACCAATTAACATTTATATAATCTGTTGATATAGTGTTAAATTTTTAGTTTCATTAATAAAGTTTTAGCTTTAGATAACTTCAAATACCAAAAGAAAAAGGGAAAAACACATATTTATCTAACCATAAATAAAGAAGTGCTAAATATTAACTTTTGATTAATACTAGAATTTTCTATTTTTTATATACTTATGTTTCCATTTTCATTTTCTGCAAAATCATATTTATAAATTATTTACATAAAGGTTCTTTTTTTTTTTTTTTTTTGTATTGGGGGATGGAAATGACATAAGCGAAAGTTACGGGTTTATGAAATATAGTGAGAGCATAGAGGAAACCTGAAGCAGAAAGTAATTTGATGCTTGGAGGTTTATTGCCGAAGAAACAAAATATTAGTTCTATTTTGAATATGGAAGGACCAATGGCCCCCGTGTAATGCATCTTTTAAGCCTCAGGATCCGAGAGGTGAGTAGGAAGAAAATGGTCTGGTCATGATCTAATAATGCAGTGGAAATGGAACCTCATTCATGATATGTTCGAGGCAGAAAAAGCATGTGCCATTAGTGTTATACCAATAAGCAAACTGGGTTTTTTAGTGTGTTGGTATGGCATTATGATAGTAGTGGTGTATATATTATGAGGAATGGATTCTATGTGAAGTCCAAGGAGGCACCAGGGGACTGATATGATGATATTGGGTTCAGAAAGCGAACAAGAAGTCTGACAAAGGATTTGGACGACCGCTGTACCGAGTAAAATCAAAGTCTTTATTTGGAGAGTAAGTCATGGGATTTTACCAGTCATGGTTAGAATTCTTGCAAAGTGTCTTCCACCTCTTAGCCTAGTAGTTAAGAGGCTTTAAGGAAGACATATGGGCACGGGTTCTAACTCCATCATCCCCCTTTCTCCCCTTTTAAGGGCTATGCCCTCCTACGAACCAAAAAAAAAAAGCGCAGGCTACAGGTGGGGAAAACATGCTTTTGATGCCGATGATCTGAAGTAACAGTTCATCATACTCTGCACAAGTTTGGTAGCTTCTTGGGTTTTCCTGGGATTATTATGGTAATGAGCAGGTGGAAATAAGGAGTAGGATGATGCATGTTGCTCAAAGCTTGAATTGGCAACGATTTAAGCAATATATGGTTGTAGCTTGGGTCATTTGGAGTAATAGGAACGGAGTATTACATGGCGAATCAAGAATGAGCTCTCTTGCATCTGCAAATTTTGCTAAACAAAATTTGTTGGAAAATAATCAAGCGCAGCGGTCACCAAATTAAGTACCAAAAGTGATTAAGAAGTCAGATGGAATAGCACTGGGAGCTCACTCTGCTAATCTACCACGGTTAATAGATCCTCTTGTTGTAGAAATAACAGCAGCTGTTCGAGCCCTTCCATTGCTTTGGATATGTGATTTAAGGAGATAGTGGTGGAGGGAGATACCTTACGAATTTTGAAGAAGCTGCAGACAGTTGAAATAGTTCTTTCTCCTATAGGGAAGCTGGTACATAGATGAAGCTGCAGACAGTTGAGATAGAACTGTCTTATTGTAATGCTGGTAGATGAAGCTCGAAGCAAGATGAACAATTTTCATATCTGTCAGGTAACGCATACCAAACCGTCGAGGAATGAGATTGCACACGCTTTAGCTAAATTTGAGAGGTCATGAGATTATGCTTTGGGTAGAGAAATGTCCTGAGTTTCTTCAATCCATAGTTTCTATTTGATGCAAATTTAAACGAATGAAAGAAAATTCTACTTTTAAAAAAAACAATTATCTTTCCCATTAAATTTCCATATTGCCTACCCATGAAAATTAGACTAAAATTTAAACTTTACAAGTAAAATATTCAAATCTTACCAATTCAATCAATCCCTCATGCTATTATACAACTATTTTTTATACGTATCCAAAAGAAATGAACAAGAAAATAAAATGAGGAAGCTAATCCGCATGATTCAGGCCAACCTCACTCTTTTAAACAGGAAGGTTAACCATGCGAAAGGACTTTGATCAGAGATTAGTCTTTAACGTTAGCACCTGAAGCTCAAGTCAGATGGTTGGGATACCAAATCATTCCCTAAAAATAGCACCAAAATGTAGTTTTTAGCTACGGAGAAAAACCAAACAGTGGCACATTTACCATTTCTATCAAGATTTAGTATCCGATCATATACAGATTTAGTTAATCATGCTTCAGCATTTTCAAGATGATTTTTTTCACATTGAATCAGAAACCACAACGGCTATGTGGTTTTCACCTTTACCCGTTATACCATTAACATATTAACAAAATGGAAGAGATACAGAACAGACATTAAGCCTGACTGAAGGATTTTCTTCGCCAATGTCACTTCCTTGGCGTCAGTTTCGATGCACTCATCACTGCCTCTTTGCTAATGTCTTCTTTAATCCCTTGATAATCTTTCCAAACCACATTAAATTCAGAACTGATAGGACTAATGGCACAGCAAATATTAACAATAGCCCGTAGCTGTCCATCTGCTTAACCTGTTTTGAGCAGAAAACAGTGATAGGCTGTTAACATATTTACCAAACAGACTGATTTTGACCAATAAAAAAAATTAAAACAATTGCAGGATAATAAATTGACATTTAATTAAATGCCAAATCCATGTCAACATTTTAAAGACCAAGGCTACATGGTTTAGGGTATTATATCAAGATTCTGAAGTGAATTTAGGTTTTCTCAGTAGTCAGGACAAGCAATAATAAAATACACCTATGATCTCAAATTACATAAAGTATGTGTCAGCTAAAATAAAATAGTAGATAAGCAGTTTAATAGTTCAAATCCGACAGCATAAAAAAAAAGATAAAAAATCAAGTATGCTAGTAAAGAATTAACACACCTGCAGCTGACACCAGGTAAATTTTGCAAGAATTTCATACCTGGTCATAGTGCAAGTAGACATGATAAAATCGATACATAAACAGGAGTATTCTAGCAACCTGCCAAAAACATCAAATTTCATTATATTAACTGCAAGAAAAATTTGTCAAACGATAAAGGAAAATTCTGAAAACTGTAAACTTATTTCACCCACCAGCCATGTGACAAATATTACTACTCCATTGATTCAGTAAGCTCTGGACCTCTTCATTCCAGCTTTGTCAAGATACCTATATGAACCCAGAATATCCTTAACATGGAGTAAAAGTAAAATGCATTTTACAATTGACAGATAGAATGAATGTACTCATATATATAGATAAGTTTTTACCATCTCAAGTTCATCCCAGGGGTTGTAGTCTCAGAGATGAGTACCATAAAGGTGTAAAGCTGACTCTCCCCAGTCAACATAGAATATGCTACAGCTGCTATTGACAGAAGACGATGGAGAACCTGAAATAAGAACATCAGTCCTCACCAACTAGGCTTCTTCTGAAAGAAGAAAAAGTAGGCCAAGATAATAATCAAACAATAAAAATACTTACATACTCCATTCCACCTAGAGAAGGGTAAAACCAAAAGATCATCCCAAGGTCAGCAAGAAAGTAACCAACAGATAGATGTCAAAAAATTTCCTAAAAAAATGGCATGTAAGATTAATTTACTTAGAAGCCAGCTAGAGGTGATAAATTACAAACTCAGGGAAATGTTAACACAAAATGAAAAGTTCAGCAAGATGAATTTATAGCAATATTGCTCCCTCTTTTTCATATAACAGTGCTACATTTACAGTGGGTTTGGATTGAAGGGAGAGGAAGGAAAGGAAAGTAAAGGAAACAAAATCATCTTCTCTTGTTTGGATAAATATTTAATTTAAAGGAAGAGAAAGAGGTAAAAATCAAATAATTTTTAGTTTCTCTTGTAAATTCAATTTTTTTAATATCCCAATTTGGAGAAAAAGTTAAGGAAAGTTAAAAAAAAAATTTATAAAAAAACTATTATGTCCATCTTTTTATTAAAACTAAAAACTTAATAAAAAAAATTTAAATAGATTACAATCATTTTATAATTTTTTCAAAGTTATCTCTTTTTTCAAGTAAGTTTCATATATATCTTTCAATATAAAAATTTTTATAATTTTTTGGTGATTTGATTTTGATGAATGATTGAATATAAATAAATATATTTTTTGGATTTATGAGATGTCCAACTAGTTCAAAATTCATCAATACATATTTATAAAAATCTTTCTGTTTCACTTGATTAAAAATCATTGATATAGTAACAATTGTGAACCCAAACAAGATAACAAATATATCATAGGTCATGAATGCTCTAAAATCATAAGCAATTAAAAATTATAATTAGAAAAAATTATTATAATAAATTATTTTCTTTCTTTTTCACTCTTTATCCAAATAATATTTGTTAAAATTTTTTTTTATTAATTTTAATTATCTAAACAAGGGTTACATGTATTTTTTATTTTCTTTTAAAAAACTTTCATTTCCTTTCATTTCATTTCATTTCATTTCCTTTTCTTTCCTCTAATAATTATATTTATCCAAACATAATGTTAAATTTTCAGCGACCTAAAAAATTGACTTGAAAAACAGACTTGGTAAATTGGTATCTGGTTGGTAAATAATTTCATGACATTTTGCAGCTTGTCTGTGCATGTTTATTATCTATTTAGTCATTCATTTGATAGTTCACCATTCTGCAATATAAAAAAGGCTGAAATACTAAAAAAAAACTCTGTACTTCCCAATTTTCTTATACAAGCCCTATCCTTATTTATCTCTCAGGTGAGGGTTTTTTTTTTTTTTTTTTTGCCAAAAGTAAGGGTTCAATTAAACAAAAACAATACTTTAAGGGCTCAACTGGATCCCATAGCCAACATGGGCTTATCTGAGAAATTTGATAAAGCAGATGGGCTGTTTTAGTATTTATAAAAATAAAAGCAAGTGCTTACTCCAACCAA